ACTATCGCCCTGTTGCACTCACTCCAATCGTGATGAAGTGCTTTGAGAGAATAGTCATGACTCATATCCAGAAGACCATTCCGAACACTATAGATCCTCTCCAGTTTGCATACCGTCGGAACCGGTCCGCAGTCAACGCAGTCAACACTGCCCTTCACACAGCCCTCACACACCTGGAGGGCAAGGACACGTATGTCAGAATGCTATTTATTGACTACAACTCAGTATTCAACACAGTCATCCCACACAAACTCTCAGAAAAGCTCCTCACCCTCGGACTGACACCCACCCTCTGCAACTGGGTGCTGAACTTTCTAACAGACAGACCCCAGTCAGTCAGAGTTGGCAGCTGCACATCCAGCACAAGAACAGTGACCACAGGCGTCCCCCAGGGCTGTGTGCTGAGCCCCCTTCTGTACACACTCTTCACGTATGACTGCGTGGCCTCCCAGAACAACACCAGCATCATCAAGTTTGCTGATGATACCACAGTCATTGGACTGATCACTGGTGGGGATGAGGCAGCGTACAGGAAGGAGGTAGCTGAGCTGGTGGCCTGGTGTCATGACAACAATCTTTCCTTGAATGCAGACAAGACCAAGGAAATGACTGTTGATCCAAGGAGGAAGCGGGAGCTGCACACACCCCTGTACATAGGTGAGACAGAGGTGGGGAGGGTGAAAACCTTCAAATTCCTTGGCATCCACATCAGTGAGGATCTCACCTGGTCTTACAACACACACCTCATCATCAGGAAGTCCCAGCAGCGACTGTACTTTCTGAGAAGGCTGAGGAAATTTGGCATGCCAGCCAAAATTCTCAGCACCTTCTACAGGAGTACGATCGAGAGTGTTCTTACCAGCTCCATCACGGTCTGGTATGGAAACTGCACTGCTCAGGACAGAAAGGCTCTCCAGCGTGTGATCAAAACTGCACAGTCCATCTCAGGAGCAGCCTTCCCCTCACTGCAGGACACTCATCACACCAGGGTCATCAGGAGGGCCCACAACATAATCAGGGACAGTACACACCCCCAGCACAGACTCTTCACACTCCTACCTTCAGGCAGACGCTACGGGAGTGTGAAGTCCAGGACTACAAGACTGACGAACAGTTTCTATTCACAGGCCATCAGGCTTGTGAACACCTCACACACTACCTCTTCCCCCCTTCCCACTCTGAACTGGTTTAACTTTTGGCCGACTTTGCACTCAATAACTGCACCTTACATACACTGCTGCTGTCAGAACACTACTGTTTACATCTGTTAATGCACTTTATGAAGCGCTGCTCTACATACTTGTATTACGCACATGTAACTTTAATTTTCTTCAACTTTGCACACATAACTGTACTTTACTTTTGTTTTTAGTGCTATTCTTATATTTTATATTTTTTTTCTCTATTTTTCTATTTTTTATTCTAAGATTATATTAAGATTATATTTGGTGAATGGAGGAACAGCAAAGTAAGAATTTCATTGTACAGTGTAACTGCCTGTTTCTGCTGTGCATATGACAATAAAACTCTTGAATAAAACTCTTGAATCAGATCACCAGACTTGTAGGAACTACGATGCATTTAGCTAACATTAAAGTGCATTTTCTTGCCCTTCTCTGCAGTTAACCAAATCTGTTAACTCTTGGAATATCAAAACTAAATGCACATGCCTAGATGATGCAAGTTACCAAATATAAAACATTTTTCAGATTAACTCACACCCATGTCGTCATGTCTCTGTGTATTCCAGCCCAACAGCCACCTATGTATTCCAGAAAGCTGACTAAACAAACCTTTCACTAGTTAACTCAGGTTGACTGACCTCTACGCAAAAATTTGATTTGCATTTCGACAACCAAATAGCCAGAGAAAAAAAAAACACAAACAGGGCGCCTCATATGTAACATATGAGTTACATAAATCAAGCAGCAGCCTTAGCCCTTGCTGTATCATGTAGACTAGGCTAACGTTAGTTATGGTCATGGCAAGTTAGCTTGTAGCCATCCCAAAAATGCCATTTTCTAAGGGGAGTACTGATACATGTGGTCTTATACTCATGAATTCTTAAAGTAATGTTGTTTGAAAGTACCTTATTTCAAACTTAACTCACTGTTGCTGTATTTATCAGATGTTTCATTATATGCATGTTAGCAATGGCCACCAATAGCCAGAAAGAGCAAGTAGCTAAATAGCAAACTAGTTTTTCAGCTAACGCTAATGATACTAGGCAAAGGTAACTAGGTATCTTAACCTACACTTAGAAACAAACTGTCAAAATTGAGTCAACATGTCAATTAAGTGCATATCTTTGAAATTCTGAAAGTGAATAATGTTATTTTTGAAGCTACTTACCAAGCTAAAAAGCACCAAGAACCACTTAGCTTGGAAAGTTCACTCAAAGGCTAACTAGCTAGCTATCTAGATACCCCTTTGGTGGGTGGTGTTGGGACTTTCAGCGAACCTAATGTTTAGCTAAGTAAATGCATTATGCAAAATTGTTTACAGAATAATCTTATACTGTTAGGTTTCATGTAATATTCCAAATAATATTCTTTTATTTTTAGAAACAGTAAGTAACACAGAAAACATACTTGTAAACTGTTAGATCTTAAGGCGATGGTTCATCAGCAGTGAGGGTTTTTTTTCCCTCTCTCTCTTCCCATAAACAGTCCCCCTGGGTCTCGTCCAGATTTGTTGAAAACTTTAGTCATGTACAAATGCTAAAAATGTTCTTTTAATATATTTAATGATATTTATAAAGCTCATACAAAATTTACACCCAAATATTTAGTTTGCTGATCAAATATCACTGCTTTAATGTAAGTTGGGCAGGTCCGTTTAAAACCCAACTAGATTCATGGATAGCCCATACAGGCCCCAACAGCAACCCATGGGAAAGTACACAGGTAACCCATCTGGACTTGCACATGTAAAGCTAATGTTTTCTCATGGGGAGCCGAATGAAAACCCATGATATAGCTCACAATGAACCCACGTAGGCAGGCTCATGTAAAACCCAGCTAATTTCATGAGTAGCCCAAGCAGTGCCCAAACGGTGCCCATGCAATAGCCCATTAGAGACCCAACCGGGCTTGCCCAATTGAAATCCTACAGTTTTAATGGGAAGCCCAAGTGGTGCCCAGGCAGAGCCCATATATTTGCCCACTTTGAGCCCAAGCCCATCTTAGGCCCAGTAAACCCAGGTAAATCCCATGTGGGGCCCTCTTGGACATGTTGGCTGGGCATTTTCAGTCTTTTTATGGTCACTTACTCTCACATAAAAATCTACCAGTCAGTTGCTCAGAAATGTTTCAGCGGCTGATTCATAATGAACAATAGCCAACATTTAAAAAGCTGACCATTCACCAGTAGCCAGCAGCTGCTCTGCACACCGTGACAACAGTGATCCAATCAGAGTGAGATGTACTAGTCATCAGATTGAAAAATGTTTATGGTAATCACATTTAAAAGTCATTCAAGACTTTTGTTTGAAGAAGTAAGCGAGTAACTGTGATTTTCTCACTTGTTTGCCCATGTCTATACCACGTCATGGTGATAGAAAAGTTAGCCAAGTGACGCTGCCTGAGTATACACAATCCCATTTTCAAAAAAGTTGGAATGCTGTGCAAAATGTAAATAAAAACAAAATGCAATGATGTGCAAATCATTTTAATCCTATATTTTTACATTGAAAATAGTATAAAGACACCACATCAAATGTTGAAACTGAGAATTTTTTTTTAATATTTGCCCATTTTAAGTTTGATGCCAACAAGAAGTTCCAAAAAAGCAACAAAACAGTGGTGAAGTTGTGTACTGTTAAAAAAAATACCTGGTGGTTCATTGACAACAGGTCAGTAACATGATTGGGTATAAAAGAGTATCTCAGAGAGGCGGAGTCTTTCAGAAGTAAGGATGAAGAGGGGTTCACAACTCTGTGAAAGACGGCACAATCAAATAGTACAACAAATCAAGAATAATGTTTCTCAACATAAAATAGAAAAGAACTTTTGCTTTTCATCATCTATATCATCTATAATATCATTAAATGATTCAGAGAATCAGGAGAAATCTCTGTATGCAAGGGACAAGGCTGAAAACCAGTATTTGCTCATAACTTTTTTGGAACGTGTTATTGGCATCAAATTCAAAATAGGCATACATTTTTCAATAAACAATAACATTTCTCAGTTTCAACATTTGATTTGTTGCATTTGTAGTATTTTCCTTCAAAAATATGGTTTACATGATTTGCATATCATTGCATCCTATTTTTATTTACATTCTGCACAGCATCCCAACATTTTTGGAATTGGGGTTGTTTTAAATGCAGTGACAAAATAAGATGAGTATTCTATTGGGATTTTCTTCTATTAAAGGCAGCACAAAACCATGGATTCAACAGCAATACAGAGAATCAGGTGATAAATGTATTGAATTTTTCTTCTTCTTTTCATTAAAAGCAGTATAAAATCAATGTCTAAATCTGGAGTAGTATTAGTGTGAAAGGTGTTTATATAACAGAATTCAGTCCTTCACTGGTGTTGATCTCTAGTTTGGAGTAGACTCTGTAAAAGCACACTGATAAAGTGATCAGTGAACAGGCTATAAAACACTCTTACCTGTGACCTACTGTGGGCGGGGCTAGTCTCCTACCTGAGTAAGGACCTATCTCTGATCTAGGAGTAGATGCTGGTTTAAGAGGAAAAGCTGCGCTGTTCTCAGGTCAGTAGTTGTAGGTTATTTCCACCAGTTGTGAATATTGTTAGTGTACTTGTATCAGTCTGGCTGCATTCATTAACACAGTCTTATCCAGGAGTGGGAGAGAGGCAGTAGGATAGAGTACAGTAAGTATATCTGTGCTTCATTCACTCCAACAGGCTCAGACCTGTATTAGGGTCAGCTGGAAGAGTTCACTACTGCTGTGAGTAAAACCGGCTGAACCGGACTGTAGAGTCTCCACCTCCAGTAGAGTCATGAGATAAACTAAACAGGACAAACTGGTTTAGAACAGAGTGAGAGAGACTCTGAGCAGGTCATCATTTTATGGAGAGAGAAGAATAAATCTAATTCAGAGGAAACACAGTGAGTATCTGACTCTGTACTGGAGTTTCTGAATCATCACTATAGATGCAGTTAACACAAGAAGACATCAGCAGTTAACATTAAATAGATCAGACTTGTAACAGCTTTTAACAAAAGTGTTAGCAGGAAATAAATGAAGAGCGTCTTCAGTCTGTTTGTCTGTGATGAGACTAAACTGAAAAATTTAAAGTGCAGGCTCGTGATGAAGAAATGTGGAAAGCAAGTCTAAATGTTTTATAAAATTTCTGCTTTGTTTTATATTGTATATCTGTATTGCATTATATTTCAATGTTTTCAGTAATGATGTTTTGTGCTGGAATTGTACTGGATAAGCGCTTTACTAAAAATTACTGAAAACTGAAAAAGTTCCACCAGCATGGCTTTGTGATCATTACAGAATCTGAATTTAATGCAGAGTTTGGCCTTTAAAACAGGGAAAACAGTGAAAGCACCAGAGAACTGACCACAATATCAGAAGTATATCTGTTGCGCAATAGTAATAATCTGTTGTTACAAAAGTAACTTACAAACGATTAATCAATCAAATTTATTGTCTGGCTAAACATAAACAATAGCAAAACAATGTACAAGCATATACTACAATAATTCTAAATCAGTAATAAAAAAGAGAATGATAATATACCTGGAAAATATGATTGACTGTATATCAGTACAGACTGAAGGATGAACCACCTCCCTCAAACATGTATTCCATGCAAACTTTTTATATCCTCTGAGCAGCTTGAGTCAAATTAAAAATAATGTATCTTTAATTTTAAAAGCATTTGGTGACAGTTCAAAGTTTTCAGGGATGGAACAACATCATCACTAAAGTCTGTGCAAATTCCAAACACTGCTTCAGTCCCAGATTACTGTAATCACTGCAGCACTACAGCGGTATGAGTGGAATACTGTTCTACTTAGAAAAAAAGAGGAACATAAACCTTCATTCTAAAGAGCTCACTGATTTCAAGACATTTCTTCCTCCTAGATATTCCACAATCAACTGTGAGTGGTATTAATAAAAAAGTGGAAACATTTAGGAACCACAGCAACTCTGCCACGAATTGTCAGACCAGGTAAAGTTACAGAGCAGGCCTCCGAGTGCTGAGTAGCATATAGCATAAAAGTCTCCAACACTCTGCTAATCAATAACTGCAGAGTTCAAACCTCCTCTGGCATCAACATCAGCACAGAAACTGCACTGGGAGCTTCATGACAGGGTTTCCATGGCTGAGAAACTGCATGCAAGCCTTACATGACCAAGCACGATGCCAAGCATCGGATGGAGTAAAGCGCCGCCACTGGACTCTGGAGCAGTGGAAACGTATTCTGTGGAGTGACGAATCAGCTTATCTATCTGGCAGTCTGTTGGACGAATCTGGGTTTGGCAAATGCCAGGAGAATGCTACCTGCCTGGCTGCATTGTGCCAGCTGTAAAGTTTGTTGGAGGAGGGATAATGATATGGGGCTGTTTTTCAGGGCATGGCCTAGAACCTTTACTTCCAGTGAAGAGAGTGTTAATGCTTCAGCAGAACAAGACATTTTGGACAATTGTACACTTTCAATTCTGTGGAACAGTTTGGGGAAGAACCTTTTCTGTTCCAGCATGACTGAGTCACAGTGCACAAAGCAGCTCCATAAAGGCATGGCTGGGTGATTTTGGTGTGGAAGAACTTGACTGGCCCTCACAGAGCCCTGACCTCAACCCCATCGACCACCTTTGGGATGAATTAGAACAGACATTGCAAGCTCTTCTGAATGAATGGGCAAAAATTCCCACAGACAAAATCTTGTAGGAAGCTTCCCAGAAGAGTGGAAGCTGTTATACCTGGAAAGTGGGACCAACTCCCAATACTTTTGTCCATATAGTGTATATCGAGGGGTACACATCCCCCCAGTATTCAGACACATTCAAAATAAAAAATTTTTACATCACCCCAATAAACTGATGTAAAAAATATAAAAATGTTTCACTCACTAGCTAGGCGTAATGTTAGGATCCATCGGTTTTCCCATCAGTTGTTGAATGGACACTTATTGTAGTGTTATTACCACTGTATCACCATACCAGCACTTCACTTCAGCAAGGTCTTTATAATATTTCTGACTTGCATGAAAATGTAACGTCAAACTCAAAACGCCATTTTGCTCTGAACTGTGATAATATGCAAAAAAAGCATCATTAATTTTATGAAGTGGAAACAAATATTTTTGGTGAAAATGGGACAATTTGTGAGTGCTAATCAATCAGTCATCACAGACATTAGCTATCTTAGTTATGTTACCTGTAAAGTTATTTAGCCACACATTCAGGCAGCAACCAACAATGGTCCCAGGTGTATTCACCAAGCAGTAATGTCTTTATATGATATTTGTTAGTTATCCCATGTAGAGTATCAGTATCAAGTGTCAATCACTGTAATGATGCATGTGTAACATGTAGTTTTCATTTATTGCATATTCGTAATTTTTGTTTAAATAGTTTTATTTTTTATTACAGTCAGCTTTCATTCACAGTGAGTCATCATGAACAAGAGGTAAGGTGGCAGTGACATTTGCAAGTTTTTTGGGCAGCCCCAGAAAAAAAAAAAAGAGCAGTAGTGAAAAGAGCACTAGTCAGATGATAGAAGTATACAGTAGTAGGGCAGTAGGAGCTACCTTCCATGTCAGAAGGTCTCTACAATGTATGCATCCACCTTGACACCCACATGCATTAAAGAGACTTTGACCAGAGAGGTTGTTCCCACGCTCCTGCCTCCTTTACCCCCTGGCACCACTCTCCAGCCAGGCTACCACCTAGTGGGGACCTGCCTGAGCCCATGCAACTAGGTAGTGCTGGCCTGCCTGATCATGGTCTTGGGCCTCGATCATTTGAGGCCAGGTGCCCTGGCAACACCAGCCACCCATCAGGAAATGCATGGGGCCTGCTCCAGTCAGGGGGACCGGTGAGGGGCCAGTGTTCCTTCTCCCCTACTATAGGGCTCTACTTGAAAGCAAAGCTTTCATGGGGGCCCTGTCAACACACCACCTTGCAGGCCTTCGTTGACTCAGGGGCAGAAAACTTTGTTGATGCCATGTTGGCTGTTACGGCCATCGATGGCCGGTCTCTGGGTTCTGGGTCCATCACTCATCGCACTGGGCCAGTCACTTTGCAAGTGGGTCCCCACAGTGAGAACACTGTGCTGTACCTCACCCAAACCCCCCACTTACAAATGGTGTTGGGGTTCCCTGGGTTGAGACAGCACAACCCTCACATTGAGTGGTCTACACAGTCTGTATATGCGTGGGACCCAGGTGTAACAGTCATTGCCTGGTCGATCCTGGCCTCCTACAAAGGGCACCCTCCCTCAAGGGTCCCGCCATGCTGGACCTTCCAGGGGTCCCCAGAGACTACTGGGACCTCCAAGTGGTCTTCAGTAAAGAAAAGGCCCAGGTTCTGCCACCCCACAGAGAATTCGACTACGGCATCAACCTGCTTCCAGGCACCACACCACCCCGCAGCCAGTTATTCACGCTCTCGCCCCCTGAACGTGCTGCAATGAATAAATACATCCGAGAAGCTTCAGAGCTGGGTTTCATATGCCCATTCTGCTCTTCCGCAGGAGCAGGCTTCTTCCTCGGAAAGAAGAATGGAGGCCTCCACCCCTGCAAGGATTACTGCAGTCTCAATGCCATCACCATAAAAGACCACCACCCCCTGCCCCTCATGTCAACAGCATTTCAGACACTGCAGCAAGCTGCAGTATTCACTGAGTATCGATTTCGGGCTTTATGGTGTCCAAGGGCACCCTCCGTATGGACCCGGCCAAGATCAGAGTCATGGTGGATTGGTCCCGTCCTACCTCCCTCTGGTTGGTCCAGCGTTTCCTGGGGTCTCAGTTCCATGGCGGCTCCACTCACCGCCCTTACCCGGGCGGGCCAGGGCCCTTTCATTGGACCATCAAAGCCCAAAAGGCTTTTGTGGAGATCAAGGCGTGGTTAACCCTACCCCATCTGGTCCTTCAGCTGCCTGACCTGGAGGAACTGTTTGTCGTCGAGGTAGACGCTTTGGAAGTTGGTCTGGCCAAGAGGCTCCAACCGTGTGCATTCTTCTCCCACCGTCTTACCCCAGCTGAACGCAACTATGATGTCGGAAACAGGGAGCTCCTGGCCATAAAGCTCACCCTGGAGAAATGGAGGCATTGGCATGAGGGGTCTAAACATCCCTTTGTGGTCTGGACCAGCCACAAGAACCTGGCTTATATCCAACAGGCAAAGTGGCTCAACACTCACCAAGTCCGATGGGTGTTGTTCTTTAGCCGCTTTCATTTTGATGCTTTAATTTTGATCCTGCTGTCTTATAGGCCAGGCTCTAAGAACACCAAGCCAGATGCCCTGTCCAGACAGTGGGTGCCTCTGGGGACCGACCCCTCCCCAGAACCCATTATTCCCACTCCTCGTATCTTGGTCCCATTCCGTTGGGAGCTGGAGACTGCCATCAGGGAGGCCCTACGGCAGGAGCCAGATCCTGGAGGCGGTCCCCTTGGTAAGCTGTATGTGTCTGCAGCTGTGCAGCAATGGATGCTGCTATGGGGGCACACTTCCTCATTTTCAGATCACCCAGGGGTGACTAGGACCCTGGACTTTTTGCACAGGTAATTTGGTGGCCTAGTATGGAGAGATGGAGAGAGATCCTTGTCTTTATTTCATTTTGCGTGACATGCATGCTGCAAGGTACCCAGGTCATGGCCCCAAGGTCTCCTCCACCTGCTGCCAATCCATGTGGTCAGGATTCATGGGATGCCTAGTGATCTGGTTTCTGACCGGGGTCCCCAGTTCACTAGCCATTTTTGGAAGGCCTTCCAATGGGAGCCTCTGTGAGTCTCTTCTCCAGCTTCCACCCATGGAAGTGTCCGGCTTCCACCCATGGAGTCCAATGGCCAGACTGAGAGGGTCAATCAAGACCTTGCCCAGACACTGTGGTGCTTGACCTGCACCAACCCCTCCTCTTAGGTGGA